ACCTTTTTAAAGTATTAAAAACCAAGGATGTTACTTTAAGGACTAAGGTTTTCCTGACCCAAGCAATGTCATTTTCAATGGCTTCTTATGCATGTGAAAGTTAGACATTGAATGAGGAGGACTAAAGAAGAATCATCAGTGCATTTAAATTGTAGTGCTGGACAAGAACTTTCAAAGTACCACGGACTGCTGAAAGGACAACCCGATCTGTCTTAGAAGGCCAGTGTGTTGCTTAGAGGCAAGGATGGCAAGACTTCATCTTACATGCTTTGGACATGGTGTCAAGGAGAGACCAGTGCTAGGAGTCCTCAAACTTTTTAAACAGGGGGCCAGTTCACTGTCCCTCAGTTGGAGGGCCAGACTATAGTTACAAAACAAACAAACTATGAACAAATTCCTATGCACACTGCACATATCTTATTTTGAAGTAAAAAAATAAAACTGGCAAAAAACCCGGCGGGCTGGATAAATGTCCTCGGTGGGCCGTAGTTTGAGAACCCCTGGAGCAGTCACTGGAGAAAGACATCTTGCTTGGTGAAGTGGAGGGGCAACCAAAAGGAGGATTGACACCGTGGCTGCAGCAGTGGGGTAGGGCATGGGAGTGATTGTGAGGATGCTGCAAACCGTGCTGTATTTTGTTCTGTTTTGCATAGGGTCTCTATGGGTCAGAGCGGACTTCCTTACAACAGCAACATTATTTTAAGTATAAGGTTAGCGAAACAGAAGCCCTTGATGAGATGGGTTGGCATAGTGACTGCAGCAATGGGCTCAAACATGACAAGAATTATGATGATGCCGGACTGGGAAGTGTTTCCTCCGGTTGTACATAGGGCCACTGTGAGTCAGGACTGACTGGGCAGCACCCAACAACAATAACGACTTTATTTTTAGGGAGAAGTAAGACTAACAAACATTACTGTTATTATTTTAACAAAGCCACATGAAAGTTTATGTAATTATTTGATCCTTTAAAAAGTGTATTTTTCAAATAAAATGAACATGTACTTACTATGAAAAATCAGGGAAATGGAAAACTAGAAGAAAAGTTACTGCCATTTTCTCACAATCAAAATAATCATTATTTGTATTAGCGAATTTCCTTCTTGACCTTTTATTCTCTCTGTGTCCTCTTACTCTTAGCAGTGCTTCCTTTGAGGAGTCCCTGGTGATGCAATGGTTAAATGCTTGACTGCTAACTGGAAGGTCAGCAGTTGGAACCAAACTTACAGACTGGGAGGACAGAGTTGTTAGTCTGCCCCTGTGAAGGTTGCACGGCCAAGAAAACCCCAAGTGGCAGCTCTACTCTGCCCTCTAGAGTTACCAAGAGTGGGCACTGATTAGAAGGCACAGAACAATAGCTCTTGCTTTATAGTAATTTTATGTATATAGTTTTTATGATTAACAGAATGACTGGAGCACCTTTTATTTTACTTTATGTTCTTCACACTTACTCTAAAAAACAAGCTCACTGCCATCGTGCCGATGCCAGTTCATCACAGCCCTCTAGGGCAGGGTAGAGCTGCTGCTGGGAGCTTCTGGTTCACTGTGGACGGAGTAGAAGCCCTGTCTTCTCCCTGTGGATCGTCTGTGGTTTCAAACTGTGCACCTTGTGGATCTCAGCCCAGTGAGGAACCACGACACCATCAGGCTCCCTATGAAGTAATATAATATTTCAAGTGCGGGGCATCGTAGCCTAATTTCTCTTGATCATTTTCACTTATTCCTGGACATACAGATATTTCTCAAACTATTATATGTGAGAATAATTTTATTATGAACATCACTGCTTGTGAAGAGAAAATATTGATTTTCAAAAAAGTGAAAACTGAAACATTAATAAAATATCCTCCTGCCTATAATAGAAAAAGAAAAAGGGACATGGTTAAATAGTCATTTTCATCATATTTTTCTGTTCATAAAATAAATTAGGAACATGTGGAAATGCAAGAAAATATAAAGTAAGACATTCAAAGGGCCTGCAAGTGGTCCTCGCGTCCTAGAACTAAGCACTATTGAAAGTTTGATTTACTTCCATCCACTCTCTTTTTCAAGCATATTTCAATACATACTTTAATAATCTACTTGAATTATTAATATTATATATTGCATATGTCGATATTTTTTGGTCATTGTTATTCCTATTTTTCTTGTTATTGTTTTTTCTCCTTTGACATGTTAGATAAATTAAAGTGTATGTTTGAGAACAGCAAACACCTTAATATATAACTCATATGTCTCTGAAGCAAAATTAGGATGGTGTTGCAGACATGTAACATTTGTACACATTTGTGCATAATTATGAGTAATAACAATATTATTTTAAAGTTAATTCAACATAAATTGTAAGTAGATAAATGAATAATTAAATACATTTGTTGTTCATTTTTAGGTTCATGGTTCACAGCCAGGGAAAATGAGATTGATGGGGGGGTTGAAGCAGATGGTAAAAGAAGGAGGAATGATTTCTCTTTGGAGAGGAAATGGTGTAAATGTTTTAAAAATTGCACCAGAGACAGCACTCAAGTGTTCAGCCTATGAACAGGTAACACGTGGGGTTTTATAGCATGGAGTGGATTTTAAATTTAATTTTCAAGACTAGATATTTGTGCAAGAGAAAACTGGAATGTGTACAAGCAGTTTTTATCAATGTGCATACTAGTAACTTTGTTTATCCTCCGTTGATCATTTTTGCTATTTTCCTGTTGCTATTGTTTTTGTAAGAGAGGCTTTATGGTTTATATATTTTATCATAATTGATATTTACTAGTAATTCTTTTAATTTCAATGACAGTGTAGAAAGTTCTCATAATACATTTTATAGCTAAATTTTCATTTGAACAATTTCATGTTTTATAAAAATTTTGGTTTATGTACAAGGGTAAGTTAATAAAAAGTATTTTTATAAGATCATTTCAACTTTTATTAAACAAAAATATCAAAATGTAACATGAAGATCTTATTTCTGGACATATCCTCCGTGTGGGCCTATAGAAACTGGTGTTTCCATCCCTCAGACCTTTCCCTGGAGAATCCTGCCCTCTTCAGTTCACACCACGTCCGTTAGCAGCCTTGGCATCTTTCAGGGACTCAAGCAGTGCTCCACTGAAATGTTCTTTGATTTGGGAAGTAAAACGTCTAGAGGGACAAGGTTGGGGTGGTAAGGTAGATGAAAAAAGTTTTCCTTATGAAATTCTCATAGGACAGTCCTTCTTATCCTCAAAAAAAATGAGTAGGTGCATTGTTGTGATGGAAAAAAATTAGGAGCCATAATTTTCCCGGGATTTTCCTCACTAATGCAGTTTTTAATTTATCTAAAATTCATTAATAATAAGCCTCTGTGTCCTTTGAAAAAAATCAATCAAGATTATTCCTTTAAGGTCCTCAAAAACATTTCCCACAACAATATAAGCTGACCTCTGTCTTGAACTTAATTGTCCCAGAGATGCCCCGGGAAGCCCTGTTGTGATTGGACCTTTGGTTCTGAAGGCACCTTTATGAGAGAATTTAACTGTAGTCATGCACAGATTGCAGATACATGCCTACACATATTGGTTTCGAATAAACCATGCAGAGATGAGCTGGAGTCCTAGGAGCAATACTTTTTGACTTGCTCTAGTATGATGCCTAGAGAATCAATCTCTTAATTTAATGAAATGAAGAACAGATGAACAATATGTATTAAATCTTAAAATTTATTAATTTGAGATTTTATTTTGCTTAAATTCACATTGAGATCAGATACATTTATTTTCAAATAGTGTGTTATTTCTCATGCTAGTGGCCAAGAGTATTACACACGCGTCTCAAGTTTTCCATCTTCTTGAAGCAGAACTTCTTTTCTTCTTGTAATTCTTTTTTCTGTAAACATTTTTATGTTATATAAGATTAAAGTATCTTTGTGTAGGACTTTGATTTACGGTCATAGGACCTCAAAATTTTAAGAACATATAAAAGATTAATAAAAAGAAATTAGAGAGAGGAATGTGATGAAAAGAACACTGGATTTACACATCTTAAAAACAAATTTTAAAAAATCTTTGAACTAGGGATGCATTTATTCATTAAACAAATATTTAATTCATCAATAAATGCTTCTTGTGTCCTGTCCTAGATGCTGCAGATATAGCCGTAAACAAAACAAACATACAAATGAAAACAAAACAAAAGGAAATCAAAAACAAAAACCTTCATTGAACTGACATTAAAATATAAGCTAGGGAAACAAAGAAACAATGCAAATACAGGGTGTGTCAGCTGGTGATAATTACTATGAGGAAATTCCCTTTGCTGTCTGGTCAATTCTGACTCATAGCAACCCTATACAAAGAGTAGAATTCTGTATAGGGTTTCTGAGACTGAAAATATTTAAGATAGTGGAAAAACTTCATCTTTCTCCCAGGGAGCATTGCGTGGGTTTGAATTTCCTGCCTTTCAGTTAGCAATACAGTGCTTAATACACTGCACCTTCAGGAATAATTATGGGGAAGTGGGGAAAGTAGAGGAAAGAAATTGGAGATAGTAGGAACACACATCTCTTTCAAGTTTTTCTGTGAAAAGGAGAAAAAAAATAAAGTGGTAGCTGGAGGGGCACATGGGAAGCACCTTTAAAAAGAATTAAATGGAAGAGATAATATGTTGTATGTTTAACGGAACGGCCCAAGTGAGAGGGGACGAATGATCATGCAGGAGGGAGAGCTGGGTATTGCTAGAGAGTGTCCTTGAGGGGGTAAGAGGAGATAGGAACCAGGTCTCATAGAAGGGGATGGCTTCTGTCTAACCAGAAGGAATTAGAGTGCATACTATTGTAGCTATTCCCAAGGCTGAAAGTGTTATTTGTCATCTCCCTCTTTTACCTCTTATTTTAGATTTCTCTCATCCTTGGCCAGTACTTCAGTTGCTAGAAGGTGTTTGTCTGGTAGGGCATCCTATTTTTTTATCCCTGAAGTATATGGAATCTTGATTGCTTTGTCCTTTTTGGTCCTTATTTGCTGTTATTAATGTGGTCCAAGGAATTACTTGAAAAGACTCTTCTAGGCATAGTCTCTGTAACTCCCACCAATAACTGGGTAAGGTCATGAGGATTGGGTTTATATTCTCTTTTCCTGATGGGTCTTGGTAAGAGAAGGGTGGGGGCAGTGGTGGTGGGATGTTGATAGGCTTATATGATTGAGTTGTAAATGATTATTAACAGTGTTAATTTCTATTGTAAACACTTGGAACTCTAACATGGGGATTGATCAATTTTACCATCCTGCTGGGTATCCAATGAGCCATCTCAGAAGCAGAAAATTGGGGTATCACGGCAATCAAGAAAGAAGAACCAGGAGTGGAGTGCAGCCTCGGGACCCTGAGATAGCTTCATGCTGACCGTTGCTTTGGGAGACAGAGTTGTGACGCCAGAGAAGGCGAGAGACAGGAGAGAAGTGGCATGAAGCAATGGCTACAGAAACCGGGTCTTGAAACAGAGTGGAAGGTGTCTCAGCCCATGAAGTGAGAAAGCTGTGTGCTTTTGGATAGGAGCTTGCTTGAGGAGTGGGTTGTTTCCAGGAGAGCCATGTTTGCCGACCCAATCCATACAGAGCCACCTACCTTCAAGCTGAAGTTTAGGGTTGAATCACATGCCCTTTGGGCATTTTTTGGCAGTGCTGAAAAATCTTAGTAACTCTTGCTAGAGCCTGGAAAAGAGCTAGGGGCTGCATAGCTGGGAGACAGAATCAGAGGAGAGACATGCTGAGGAGAGGTGCGCCCGACCAGAAAAAATATATCCTGGCTATTACTGATCCTGATTGAACCTATTAACTTCCCTAAGAAACCTCTTAGTAGTGAGTATTGTCTTGAGTTGTATGTGGCCATTACAATTAATTTTTGAAGCCAGTAGAGAAGCAGCGAGTGCCTTGGAAAGGACTATTGGTGTGGAATTGGTACAAAAAGGTTAGAGGGTGGAGGCATCTCTGACCTCCTCCTCATAAGAACTGGCTTTGGCCTGATGAGTTTGATTCTCCTTTCCCTTTGTGTAGTCAGACCCTACCCCATGCCCTTTTTATGTACCTAGCACTGTTACCGCCAAGCATGAAAGCACTCAATCTATAGCTTCTGTTATGAATTGAACTGTGTCCCCCCAACCTGTCTTTTATGAATTCTAATCCATATACCTGTGGTTGTAATCACATTTGGGGTGAATTTTTTGTTATATTAATATGGCAGTGTTAGCGTAGGCTGTGCCTTGAATCAATCTCTTTTGAGATCTATAAGGAGCAGATTAAGCAAGTAGCAGATTTGGGGGAAGGTAGTTGCTCTGTCACCTGAAGATCACCAAGGAGCTGAGAAACAGACGCTGAGAAGGGACAAAGACCTTTCTTCAGAGCCAACTCACAGAGGAAACCTTCCCATAGATCCGGCCCTGTGAGACCCTGTGGATTGCGTGTTTTAGCTTCCTAAAGACTGGGGAAATAAATCTCTGTTGGTTAAAGCCATCCACTCGTGATATTTCTTTTATAGCACCACTTGATATCCAAGACAACGATTTACCTGTACATCCTTGGAACTTTATCATTTTCATCAAAGACTTCTATTTGCTGGCATCTAAAATCAATTTGCCCGAGGTATTTCTCTGGCGTCTGAAGCTTGCCTTGTTCCTGCAAATAGCTGACTGAAAGTGATAGGGAATTAAAGCCTCTGGGAGCAGCTTTCATGAATGACTGATAGATAGAATCCCAATTCCCTGGCATTGGGAACAACCCTGAGGTATGTGCTTCTCATTGTTTCCCAGAAGTCTTCAGCAAGGTTAACTTTCATTTGCCTACAATGGCAACTTGCTGTATAACACATACTTTATTTGCTCCTTTTGACTCCCTATCTCACATCTTCCACAGGTGTGAAACTTTGGGACACTGAATGGTTTGCTACAGATACTAAGTGTATGTCAACCTGTGCTGGGTACTCTACCTCACCTGGGTTTGTAAATTTGAAAAGAGGCTTTGATTCTGCAGGAAAGTGCTATAAAGTTGAGAGACAGGTGCCAGCCATACCTAGAAGCTGAATCTTTGATGTGATTTGTTTTAAAAAGTGAAACATTTTCCTACAGGTTAGTAATTAAACACAGCTAAGCCCATGTCTACCTTGCTTATGGAGTAATTTGACTCTGATTTCCACCAGTGTTTTTCTGGTAGAAGTTTCGTCTCATGGTCTTCTCTGAGAGAACCTAAAGAAAGCTTAACTAGCTTGGTTCCATATGTGTTCTTACCTCTTCTATAAAGCCACCACTGTCTGTCAGTTTGTAGTACTGACACTGCCTTGCGTGCCACTGTGATATTGGAAGCTATGCCACTGGTATTTCAAATATCAGCAGGGTCAAATTGTGGTAGACAGATTTCAGTAAAGCCTCTTGAATAAAACAGAGCAGAAAGAAGGAAGAGACTGATCACTTCTGAAAAATTAATCACTAAAAACCTATGAAAAGCAGTGGAACATTACCTGCCAGAAGATGAACCCCTCAGACTAGAAAGCGCTGAAATATGACGAGGCTAAGAGCTGCTGCTTTAA